AAGGGTTGAGATCCCCTTACCGGTCATCTTTTAAAAAAAAAAAAAAAAAGAGAGAAAGTATGTCCCTGGATTCAAATTTAGCAGGCATTCTGTATTTTATCTGGCAATAATATGTGTGGCATTAGTCATTATCACAAATGTTCTCATGGGCCCCTCTATCCTAGGAAAAGTAAGGCACTCTCAGATAGATCACAACCTGCAGTTCTGTGCACAACGCTTCCAGGTGCTTTTGTTAAGGGCCAAAAACTTTATATAATTTCCCTGATGGCCCAGGGGAGGTGCAAGCTCAGACTTAGTCAGCAGGGGGCACCATTCTCTTAAAATAGATTCCCAGGTGAGTTCCAGGGGTTCAAAATAGGGAATGGGGGCATGGAATTGAAGGTTCTATTTGCTGCTTCTGTCTTCCCTCTGGAGCTCACATCTTCCCACCCTGCCAGATCTGTTTTTGTGAAGCAAGAATCAGATCCTGTCCACGCCTTAGATCATTTCCAAAGTTCCATGATTACCTTCTTAAGACAGCATTAAAAAGCCCTTCAGGATCCCACTGGAGTCCATTTTTCCTACTTCAAGTCCTACTACTTCCACCCTACTTGATCCCACGCACTTGACACTCCCAACGCTCCCATTCACCAGGAACTATTTGCATCTTCCCTGTAGGCAATTTACTGTCATGCCTTTGAGCCCAAGGTCTCTCTGCTTGGAATTCTCTTTTCGCTTTGGTGCTTATAGCAACTCTGTTTATTCAGCACATTTCACAAATATACTGAGATCAACTGTGTACCAGGCACTATGCTGTGTGCTGGAAATGCTGTGCAGAAAAAGGCCAACTAGAGCCCTTGTGATTCTCACAATGGGGGAATCTGGGGGAAGGGAGTCAATAAGCAAGTAGTCAAGTAAATAAGGTACTTGGACTTAGTACAAGGGTTAACTGATCTGCCTTCCTCACGGAGAGTTGACTATTCCCTCCTTTGGGTCTTCTGATGGCTTTTCACGTTAAGGGTCCTAAATTCTAACACCTGCACAATCATTGCCAGGAACATGGATGAATGAAGGGATCTAGTTAAGTCATTCAGGAGGGGGTGGGGCTGAGGGGTGGGGAAGGTGCAGCCCGTGACAAAGTGAGAGTAGCTTTTCACCCCCCCCCCCCNAAAATCCTCAACAAAATACTAGCAATCAGAATACAGCAACATGTTAAAAAAAATTATACACTATGATCAAGTGGGATTTATCCCAGGAATGCAAGGATGGTTCAACATACAAAAGTCAATAAATGTGGCATATCACATCAACAAGCTTAAGGACAAAGACATGATTATCTCAACAGATGCTGAAAATGCATTTGACAAAATTCAACATTTCATCATGACAAAGACTCTCAACAAATTATGTATAGAAGGAAAATATCTTAACACAATAAAAGCCATTTAAGAGAAGCCCACCACCAGTATTACTCTGAATGGGGAAAAATTGAAGGCCTTCCCCATGAGAACAGGAATAAGACAAGGATGTCGACTCTCACCACTTCTATTCAACGTAATACTGGAGGTACTAGAAAGAGTAATCAGGCAAGAGAAAGATATAAAGGGAATCCAGATTGGAAAAGATGAAGTCAAACATTCCCTATTTGCAAATGACATGTTACTATATATAGCAAAACCTAACGTCTCTATCAAAAAATTCCTAGAAACAAACAAACAAACAAAAAAAAAACGTTTATGGGCCGGCCCGGTGGCGAACTCGGCTGAGTGCGGCGCTTGGGAGTGCGGCAGCGCTCCCGCCGAGGGTTCGGATCCCACATGAAGACTGGTCCGCTCGCTGGCTGAGCGTTGTGTGGGCGCGATACCAAGGGTTGTGATCCCGTTGCCGGTCACGACAAAAAGACAAAAAAGGGAAAAAAAACAAAAACAAACAAACAAACAAAAAAACGTTTATTTGGGCCAGCCCGGTGGCGCACTGCTACAGTGCGCTGCTTGGGAGCGCGGCGGCGCTCCCGCTGAGGGTTCGGATCCCACATACAGACTGGCCGCTCGCTGGCTCAGTGA